TTACTGAGGGTGTTGCAGCATAGTTCCATGGGTGTAAACGCACCCCCACATGCATGTGAAATCTAGACGGCGGTGGTGTTAGATCTCACTATTTTCCTACATTTACAGACAGTGTCTTAGTCTGGATTAGCCAAACAATTATCTAATGGTTTTCTTTCTGGTGTTGTACGGCTGCAGAAGATTTGGATTCTGTTTATGAGCCTCTGTGCTCTTTTTGGGCCCGAAAGGAATTTTGGCGGAAAGGGCATTGACTGGGAGGAGCAAGGAGAGCTGCAAAGGAGAGGAGCTCATCTTGGGGCCTACATAAAGATTTGAAATAGCGCAGGGGGTGTGGGAAGCAAAGGAGGGACCGGCTTTGCGTTACGGGAGCAACAAGAGTTTGGAAGAGTTGGCTTTAATCCTTTCATTTCCACGTTCCTTGCTATTGTTTTTCTCCCCAGTCTTCCTGATCCCTCCGTTACAAAGCAGAGACTTCTCTCTTGGTGTCAGTGTGCATCTTCCACTGATTTCGGGGAGCTTTTCGGGTAAGGCTTTTAACGAGAAATTTAGTGCTCAGCTGTCTCCATGCATTACCAGCACATTTTCCTGAATTGAGCTCATGCCACTGCATGTGTGACTTATGTCAAGTTTGGCAGGAAGTCTGCAGCCCTGAACGCGGTACGGGCGTAGGTATCCTCTTGTACTGAGCCACCTGAGTGCCCCAGCTGCGAACAGAGCCAAACCAGTAAAGCTGCAGCAAAGCAAGAGATCTCTGCAGCAGCCTGCCCTCAATGTGACCAGGACAAGGCTGCAGTTGTTGAGTTTAAAAATGATGTTTCTAGGTTAGAGTTTCTTCTTGGTTTCTCTTTGTTTTCCTTTTTTTTTCCCCTCCTTCCTTGTAGGTTTGATTTTTTTTTTTCTGGTGGTAGTGTTTGGAAGTACAATTTTTTTTCTTTTCCCCTCACCTTGCTGATTCTTTTTCCCTGCAACTCCCAGAGCAGGTTGCTGGTCGATTCCTCCAGAGCAGAGGGGGAACCAGCCGCAGTTACTAGCTGCAGATGTAAACACTTGCTGCCCTGCCCTGGAGAGTCAAGATGCTACTAACAAAGACAGTTAGCAGTTCCCCAGCTAGTGTAAATTCTTGCGGAGAGTGATTACTGCCCCTTCCCACATCTCATCCCAGAGGAAGCGGAACTTCAGTGAAGTAGCATTGTTTTTTTCTAATACTTTGCAGCTCCAAAGCTAGTCTAAGAACCTCTCCTCTTGTCTTCCTCGTGAAATAAGCTTTCATTTCCAGTAGTGTCCATCCTGTTCAGTAGGAAGTTCAATTCAGCATGGGGGAACTTTGATCTACATTGTTCCGGCTGGTCTTGTCCTATTTGTTTAGAATTGCATTTGTTTTTGTTTAGTAGGACTCATGAATGATAACATTTCCTCCAGGAATGTGGCTGTAGTTGTTGATGTTAATGTAGTATCAGAAGACGACCATGCTATGTGCTTTCCACTTTTAAAAAGAAAATATTATATGGTTTTGAAAATATGACGTATACACACATACCAAAAAAAGTGCATGTAAAGTAGACCAACACAGAACTGATTAGTTTCCACGTTTTTGTTTTTAAATAAATATAGAAGTAATTCCTATATAAAATAGGGGTAATAATTCTCCTGCCCCTCATGTGGGGGCTGTAGAGTTTCCTGAAATCTTTAGAGAGGAGTTCAGAAATGCAATTTATCATTGCTGGATTTCCTCTTCCTGTACAGACACAGCGTTTGGCTGACACACTATGAAATGTGTACCCGTTATCAACATGTTTTCAGTTTCAAGGGTCATTCAAAAATTCCTTTTCTCAGCTGTTCTGGGAAAAAAATTACAGAGACCATTGACACCAGAAGAATCTGTCATGAGTGTTCCTTGCATTTCTGGTTAGAGCCTTTGCAAAGAGGCTACTGAAATATTAATGGCTTTCTGCTTTGTGAGCCATCACACTACAGTAGTGCAGTCTGTGTATCCTTTCTATGTTCCCAAAACACATGTGGTTTAGATGCCTTTCATGTATTTTAACACAAAGTGGCTGGTTGAGTGGTCCATGTTCTCCCAGAGGAGCCAAAACTCACTCCATGGATCAAGAAAATAAAGGGCTGTAAGGCAATTTACCATTCAGGCTATTGTGGAGGAGGGTGATTTAAAATGTTGTAGTGGCTTGGAAAAAAACAAAAACCCAAAGCAGTGATTGAAAGGCTTGAAATGACTGAGTTAATGTGACAAGTCTCCTTTTCCTCTGTTGGGTCTGTTGCAGAGGTGATCATGCACAGCTAATGTGTTGTGCGGAGCTCAATGGCACTGTTTGCAGGACTTGCTTTGAAATCAAGAGTGAGAGATCATTTATTTAATAGACAGCATTAAAGAATGAGTTTCTGATGAAGCAGGTTAGGTGTTAAACACTTTTCAGGTGAACCATTTACTTATGTAATTATCTCTCATTTACATTATAATAAATGTTTCTCCAGGGAGTTTAGCCAATCATGAAATGCAATTAATTTTCAAATGCTCTTCAGCAACAATTGACACTCCAGAGACTGAAATCCCTAGTCAGTGTGTACGGTTTTTAAACTCTCCTGCTAAAGGGAAGCTGCTTCAGCTCGGTTGATCATGCAGTTGTTAAATTTTAGGGTTTTTGACAGCGTTTCGTAGACGCCTATCACTAGAAGTCTGGAGTGCTGGGTTTGATACCCAGGCTGTTTAGGCCTGGTATCTCCCCTTAGTTTCCAGAGCACTGAAGAGGTTCAGGATGCTGTTCTTCAAATTAAGCCCAGGACTCACTTCAGTGAAGATGGAGGAGTTTAAATGCTCTTGGTTTCTGTTGCTGACTCCGATTGCTGTGTGATACTGGCTGGGGCACGTAGCCAGCTGTTTTGCGGTTTCTCTGTGTGTAAAATGGGAGTAATCAACCTCACGTCTCTAAGGTGTACATGGAGATGTATGGGTGGGAGGGACTGGTTGCTGACTGTGTAGTACCTCTGGAGAGCAGTCTAAGTATCACGCTGCTTAAGTTTACTTAATTCACTTTCTAACCTAAATGTCGTTACAGTCACTTTTGTTCTAAGTCTTATTAGTACGCTGATAAAATAAAATAATCTGTGGAGTCCCACCTTTTACAACGGTATTTGGTCCAGCAGCTTAGAAAGCTTTTCAAGCATGGATTAATTTTATTGCAGCATTCAGTTTTGAGATGGATTGCTGCTGTGGTTGGAGCAGTGATCTCCATTTGAATGGAGCCAGCTTTTTAAAAGTGAAAAGGAACAAAGTGATTTTGCTAGCCCTCACCTACTCCAGACAGACCCGTTTCTGCATGCTGGCTCTGGTTTTTCTGATGTTAAGCCTTGGGCCCCAATGCAGATACTGTCCCAGCCACACTGGATTGCAGTGGACAGATGGGCTTGGGTTGAAAAGAGTTTACAGCCGGCTGCGGAGGCTCCCCAGCCCCGAGCGGTCGTGGATGCGAAGCAGTGGAACCTGCAAGTCTCGTGTATGTGGAGGCCAAAGAGGAGGAAGACCTTTTATCCTTTCATGCTCGCAAAATCCAATGTAGGAAGGATCTTTATTGTGATACTCTCTCTTCATGAATTTGTGCATTTTCCTGAGGCTTTCTCTAAAGCCAGGGGTAAGAAGGAAAGGAGGCTTTATTTACAGATGTTGCTTTCAGAATGGATCTAGCATGATGATGTTATCTGTAAATACATCTTTGGGCATCATAAATCTTCCCATGTATTTAGAAATAGGATAGAAAGGTTGTCTGATATGGGAATGAATACTTGACAAATTCCTATACTGCGTTTTGTTGTCTCGGAGTACATATGCAGTTTAAAATAAGTCCGTTATCTGCTGTTACATCATCCTGTTGCTTCCAGCAGAATACTAGCACTTCTATTTTGACCGGCAAATTTTGTTACTCGCTGTTTAAGCTGATCTCTAAATGTCAGAGACCAGAATGTGACTTATTGTGGGAGGCAGTTACCCGATGTCTGCTTGCTCTGGGCTGTCTGTGGTGTTCTTGGAAGTGTCTCTGAGACCGAATCCGGTGGGATTTGGGTCTGAGCCATTTGAACCGTTCATACGGTCCCTATAAATACAGGGCAGCTAGTGGGTTTCAGGCAGTGTGGGTTTTGTAAGCATCTACACACAGATCACAGATCATTATGTTGATCTAAACCATTTTGTAATCCTCTACAATCTGGGTTTAGAGGCTGTTATTAGTGTCACAAATAAAAGCTTGTGACTTCTGTAGTTCTCAGGATAACAGAAGACACGTACTTTCAGAGAATTACATATTAAAAATAAAGCATATAAACAGGCAGGAGTTTGAGGATAGTTATCCTGCTTTTCAAGACTGGGTCCTGAATTCACAAGATTGCAAGAGAGGAATTGATTCATTTTAATTTCGTATTCAACCATGTACTGAAGAAGAAGCAGAGTTAAACAGGAGGACAATGCAGGAAAAAGTCTTTTAAAAATCTTTCAGTAACTTGAAGCTTTACACATGGCTCCAAAGAAATGTATTTTACTGGGTTGCTTGTGTTTTGTTTTGGTTTTTGTTTTTGTTTTTGTTTTTTTTAAACTGAACATGTATCTTTTAGGAAGGAAACCCCTTTTTGCCCAGATAGGTCTCAGATTTAGAGATAGAAATGGATAGAAAGGTACTTAAGAGTTCTATTTTCTCACAAACTGTTTTCCAAGCTCATGAAAAGCCTCTTCAAAATGATAAGGGCACAAGAGAAAGTGATTTCAGCTATCGTTAGCATTCATGTTTGTGTTAACTGGCCTGGTAACTGGTATCTTCCCATTACTGGCAAGCAGCAACTTCCAGCGTCCATTATTGAGAGCGAAAGCAGGGGAGGGTGTGGGAAGGACAGCAGGATTCTCTGTGACAGATGCGGCTCGGTTTGGCCTGGACTCTGCTGATATTGCCTCTGACCAGCACCCTGGCCCTAACCTCCTGCTGTTGGATTTCTGCCGGCAGTTACCTGAAGGAGTTCCGCACGGAGCAGTGCCCTCTTTTCGTGCAGCACAAGTGCACTCAGCACCGGCCCTACACTTGCTTCCACTGGCACTTTGTCAACCAGCGTCGTCGCAGATCTATCCGCCGCCGGGATGGTACATTTAACTACAGTCCTGACATTTACTGTACCAAGTATGACGAGACCACAGGAATCTGCCCAGAAGGAGATGAGTAAGTAAAGACTGCACCCTGCTTTTCAGGCATTAGGCTTTTGGGATCAGTCCAGGTGATGGTTCCAGCCAGTTCTTGTAGAGGTGAGGGAAGTGAGCAGTAAAGCAGCTTCGTCACATACGTAACGTGAGAACAGATATAAAAACTGTAATAGCAACCCGTGTGCTGCAGAGATGATACTAAGAGTGCCTCTAGGTGGGAATTTGTGTTCACTGTCCTCATGAGCCTTGGCATCTTCAGCAAAGCTGAGGTGGGAAAAACAGCTCACTGACAAATGGGCTCAGAAAGACTCTGTTCCTGTAAGTCCCTGACTGTCAAATAACAGCTCTTGCTCACTGGCAGCGTAGCTTAGTTTTTAAGATTGCTGAAAGAGGAGGAGCTTTGTCCTTTAGTCTGCCCCCTGAATTATTTATCTCCAGCTTTTTAAATCATATTGGTTATTTACCAGTTTATTTTGTCTTCCTGAACTTTTAAGAAGCCAGTAGGGAAATGACAGGTACCAGGAATAAGGCAACATGAGGAAGAGTTTGTTTTATTTGGTCTTCTCTCCCTGTGACTGTGGTAAGTTTAACTGGAGCAGAGATGTAAGTGTTTCTGCTGTGCATGTGGCAGACCCCAGCAATTAAAGGGTTAACCCAGTAATAGAACTTTATCCACGTGACATGCATGGAAGAATAAATAGCTAAACTGTGGTCAAATATAGGGAGTGTTTTATATAGAGATGCTATAGAAAAATGTAATTTCTGTTCCCTTTCATGGTGCCAGTATAAACACACAGAAAAATGCTGTTTATCAGGAAAACAATATTTTTTTGTCCCAATTAAGTAAAGATCTTGTGACTACAGCAGAATAGAATAATCCCCCAGCCTGAAGCCTCAGTTTCAATACTTTCATCCTTGTTAGAAGAGAGCTGGAAAGGACTGGAAATAAGATATTTGGGGGCTTTTTCTTCTAGATCACTGGTTTGTACCTGGCTCAAACTCGGTGAATGAAAACTGTTGCTGTCTCAGAACTCTTTCCTGATTTGCATTTTTAGTTTGATGCTGCAGTATCTAAACTTTACCTATTCCATCTTGTTCTTTTTTTTTATTTCTCAGTGTAGATTGTTCTTTTTCTGCCTAAGAGGGGAAACAAAACATCAGTTAAAATTGTAGTGTTGTAATTCTCCTTTCTTGTCCCGTGCTCTGCATAAAGGATGCATCTGGCTATAGATAGACTGTCGCGGAAACAGTAACAGCACGAAGTCTAGATGGGCTGCTGAGGAAATGGTATGTGCCATGTGATGTCCCTTCAATCATGGCTAGTGTATCAGAACGCCTTGACAGTGTCCTTGCTCTTTTCCAGATCCCTGGCAGTCACTAGACTAGAATAATGCTGCTGGCTTAATAATCCAGTTGTCTTTTTGGGAGGGAAACTATTATATACTGTGTAGGGCCAGGTTTAGGGGTTCTGTGTAGTGGTGGAAGGCACAGCATAGGAGAAGGGGCAGAGCTAGCAAAGGTATAGTCAACTGCAGCATTCTGTATTGGCCCTATGTCTTCTGGTAGTGTTGAGTCCATCACCTGTCTGACTAAACTTCGGCTGTTCTTCCCTCCTTCTGTACCTCAGGTGTCCCTTCTTGCATAGAACTACCGGAGACACAGAGAGGCGGTATCACTTGCGCTACTACAAAACTGGAATCTGCATTCATGAGACAGACTCCAAGGGAAACTGCACGAAGAATGGAGTCCACTGCGCGTTCGCTCATGGGCCCCATGATCTACGCTCTCCAGTGTATGACATTAGGTTAGTAGAGGTTGGGGCTCTCTATGTAAAGGGTTATTTCTGTACCCAAATGAAAAGTCAGATGATTGAAGGACAGTACTACTTCATGTGAAATGGTTAGTGTTAGAGTGATGATGATATATCCCTTCCTAATAAGGCAAATGTACAAATCTCCAGGGAGGATACTCAAAATGGGGAAAGGGAGCACGCTTTAAACTAGTTGTGCGGTGGTCTGAAGTCTGATGGCAGGGTCCAAATAATGCATCTGGAATTCCCAGGGAATGAAGAACATGAATTGCAGTTGCTGTTTGACTACAGATTTTCTGACAAAAAAATGCATGAATGAAATGCACCTGCTTAGGAATTGCTACCACACTGCAGTATGTCGGTTTTTATACACATTTATCTGTCTCTTCATCTGCTCAGTCTGTATGTTCATTTAACTCTGTCCACGAAGGGAGCTTCAGGCGATGGAGGCTTTGCAGAATGGTCAGACTACATCAGAAGGTGGCATAGAGGGTCAGTCTGCAGTCGCTGCTAGCCATGCTATGATAGAGAAAATACTCAGTGAGGAGCCAAGGTGGCAAGGTGAGTGTTATTGAAGGTCTGTGGGGGCTGGAAAGGTCTGGTGTTTGTGAAGTACACATTCCTGTCAAAAATGTCTGTATAGTAAATGTAGATCATGGTCATTTCCTACTAACTGGTTGCTTCTTTTGTAGATACAACATATGTGTTGGGAAATTACAAGACAGAGCAATGTAAGAAACCCCCCCGCCTCTGTCGCCAGGGTTATGCCTGTCCCTACTACCACAATAGCAAAGACAGAAGAAGAAGCCCAAGAAAACACAAATACAGGTACTGTGGTCCTGGATATTCTATTTCCCAGCGGAGTGGTGAGATGTAGTAGAAATCTGTAATGAAGGATCTAGGATTTTGTCCACTAGGTAGTTTTTTAGTGTGTCTCCAAGGCCTGTACTGACAGATGTGATAGACTGTTATTTCTGCCTAGGAGACAAGATAACAAACTAAAGGAATTTTGCTGTATATGGGAACCAGTATCTCTAATAAATGACTGTTGTTAAATCACATTACAGTTCTGGGTTTATGGCAAACAGAACCTGTGTCTGGCTTCCCCTTACCATATAAACTCCTGCTTTAGAAAGCAGAGCTGGAATAAGAAAACAAAATAAAGTTTTAATTCCCATCTAGAGACAAACTCACACAGCAGTGTTTTCACGGTAAAGGGTTCAGAATCATCAAGCTGCTTGTTGTGTGCGCCTGGTGATGGGGATCGTGAGGCATGGTATGACCAATACTGTAGCCGGACATGCATTCCTAACCAACTGCTAAAGACTCTGCTTTTGAGGCACCGGGGTGTTCTTGTCACTTAGCTGTCACTGGATTTTTCAGCATGCCGCATCTCCCTGAACGGGTTTCATCCAAGTTATAGGCCCTCATTTCCTCCAGCACAACAGAGCTTTTGTTGTGGTCTCAGTGGGGCTTTTCCTTAGTTCCTTTCTGAAAAACGTAAGAGCAGACCAGAAAGCCAGGAGAGAAAATACCATGGATGTTCTCACTTCCCCACCCCCAGCATTCACAGAAATTTTTGAATTGGCACTGAAATCCCATATTAAAAAATATAAATAAATAAAAATCAAGGGAACATTAATCCCAACACCTTCTGGAGAAACAGAAACACCAAGCCAGTCTTCAGGCAGCAGCCATGTGCTTTCTGCCTCTGCCTGGGCCCTTTGGGGAGGGAAGAAGGGAAAGCTTCTCCACTGACTTCTGTGTTGCTTTCCCCACCCCCAGCTGATGTGGCTGCCTTTCATGAAGGCATCTGCTGCTGCTATCTGCTTCCCTCTGCTGTTGTTTGAGGGAATGGTTAAGAGCATAAAGAGCAGGGGAAGTAGGTCACGTAAAAATTCAGAACGGGGAAAAAGAAACTGTTCCTGTCTGGGAGAAAGAAAATGGGCTTGCCTTTTCCCCAGTGACCTGACTCAGCCTCTTTTCCCCATGGTCACACTATAACCCTAGAAACATACCACTGTAAGGGTATTATGTGTTTTAGGATTAGCCAATTAACTTATTAGCTTTCTATGAATGTACGCGTCCAAAACAGAAACCAGACCCAGCATCTCTGACACTAATCACATCAGCTGCTAATTTTGTTAAGTTATGTTGGTTCAGGTTGCACTCAGTTTTGGATGGAAAGCTAAGCCCTGTTCTTCCATTGGGAAATTGGAAGAGGGGGAAGAAGGTGTGATAGCAGCAGGGTGGGGGCTGGGGAAGCAGCAGCCAGCCAAACAGATTGTATAGCTGAGGGTGGGCAGCTGAACCTGCCTCCCGATTGAGGAAAGCAGAGCCCAAAACACATTTGTGAGATGCATTTTCCTGCCGCCTTATTTACACAGATCTTCGCCATGTCCCAGTGTGAAACATGGAGATGAGTGGGGAGATCCCAGTAAGTGTGAAAATGGAGACTCATGCCAATACTGCCACACTCGCACAGAACAGCAGTTCCATCCAGAGGTACAGTAGCCTGCTTGATTTTTTTGGTAGCTGACTAGAAAAGCAAAAGCATTCCAGGCTTATGAAGTACACGAGTGTGCCAGCTGGGAGGGTGTGAGGGCTGCTTGTGGTGTGGTCCTGGGATACAGAGAAACTGCATGTTGGAAGTAAGCTGAAAGTCAGCTGCTTGACAGGGATGCCTTTCAGTTGGTAGACTATGTGGGAGGAGGTAAGAAAAGTGGGGGGGAAAACTCAAGTATAAGAGCAGTCTCATGTGTGGGGGGTCCTTTTGAAAGCATGGTGTGGGTTTGCAGGTGAGCATACAGCATCTGGTTCCCTAAGGAAAAATTCTTGGTTGATGACGATCACAGTAAACCATAGATACCCATGAACTGGTGCTAAAAACCAACGAGCTCTTAGCTGTGAGCATGCCCAGCATTCCAGTATCCTTACAGAAAGTGTAATTAAGGCCTTGTCCTAGTCTGCTTCATGTTACAGTGTTGAAAAGCTTTGTTGGGCCTGTATCGGCAAAGTAACCATTGTCACCGCCTGTCAAACTGGGGGGAAGGGGAATAATCCGTTTCCTACAATCATTGTCAACGGTTTGTTATTTTCCTTGCAAACATGTGGCTGTAGCTTTCTGTGCTGTCACTGTCAGCTGTTTCCTACCTCTTACTGTTTGTAATATCCATGGAGCTCCCAGTGAGACTGAGGGACTTTATGGCAAATGGTGACCTTTGGGTGAGCTGACGTGCGATGGGTTGATCTTTGGGTGAGCTTAGCTGTGATGGGCATATTTTGGTGTTTCTGTAACCGTAGTGGGTTTTCCTTTCTTTGAAGCAAAGCGCTGAAATGGTCACCCTGAGCTCTGCTGGCCTTTGTGCCTTTTATCTGTGTTTCTATCTTGCTGTCGAGTCTCTTAGTAGTACTTTTGTACCTGGGTTGCTGGTCACTGTTTTTTTCCTGTTCATGTCTGTTGGTTTTTTTTTTGTTTTTTTTTTTGTTTCCCCATTCTTAGATCTACAAATCCACCAAGTGCAATGATATGCAGCAGTCTGGCAGCTGTCCCCGAGGACCCTTCTGTGCCTTTGCACATGTAGAACGTACGTGGGCTGCTTCTCTATATTTCATAGATATTTGTGCTTCTGGCCAAAACGGATAGTTTAAAATACAGGGCCACTAAACTAGAACTTCTGTAAAGGATTTTCAGAAACAAGGTATTAACTTTGATAATTCCTATAAAACTGTGCTAGCGTGGGAGATGTTGGCAGAGCTTAAGGCAGTAGGTAGTCTGTAGGACTCAGCCCTGGGCTCTCACTGCACCACCTCGTGAAGTATCTCCCTCTGTTCCCTCTCACTCACTTAGTTCTCTGTATGTCAGCTGGGGAGGACTGGAACAGAGAGGGCTGCTTCTCTTCTGTACCTGGATGAACTGTACCTAGCTAAGTTGCAAAGTGTTGTATTTTTAAAAGCTGAGGAAAAAATTTCTAACTATAGACAATGTATTGATCCATTTAAAAACTTAAATACTATCTTACTACTTAGGAAGCTTTGCTTAGAGTTTAAATTTTTATGTCAGGTTGGAGAAAAATATGCAGCTTTTTGTCTGCTTTTCCTCCAGTCTTCTTTTCTTGCTAGCTCCTGGATTTATAGGGCATTATTTCAATCCTCATTTTCATCACCTGTAAACTAGTGATGCTGTTTTGTTGTGGAAGTTCTGTATTCAGTTGGGTACTAACATTTGTAGGTAAATGGTTAGCTCCTGGTCCTTTGGCTCCGACTTAAGTTTCTGCACTCCAATCTCACTGTTGAATTTGCAGCAATTAGAGCAGGTTACTCAGAAGTCAATAGATTGACTCTGATACTGACTCACTACCTGGCCTTGAGCAGATCTCTTTTTATTTGATTATCCTTGTAAATGGTGGAATTAGTAATTGCTGCCTTTGTCAAGGAATAGCGAGAGTAAATTCCCTACAGGTTCTGCAGTTTCTTTTACAGGAAGCCTTGTCGACAAGCAGTAATTATAGCTAGAGCTGTGGGCTATAATGGCCCAAAACACAGTAGTGCACCTACCCAGTATGATCCAGCAAGCTTAAGAGAGGATGAAATCTTGATAAAGAAACAGTGTTTAGCAAACTCCCTTGTGTATAACACAGTGTTTTTGTTTAGGAGATGCTTTATTCCTAACAAGATTACTGTACTTGATACTATACAACTTTAAAGCCAGAGTGCCATTCTGTGGCACTTAGGTCATTCCAACCTGATTATTTCTTGTGCTGTCTTAGAGTTGTATCTTTTAGTCCTCTCTTAGCAAGGTGAACACAGAGGGCCTAATTCAATTAAAATAACAGGAGTCCATTTATTATATCTGCTCTTAGTATGAGTTTTGCAGATTATTAGCAAGAAATGTGTTGAAATCAGTACTTTAAAGATGTTGTTGTGATACAGGCATAATGTCAGTTATATAGTTTTTGTAAAGGTGCTGGGTTGTGTTAGATGTAAATACTAAAAGTCTACAGCATCTCTACCTTCCGAGCCAATGACACTTTGTATATGCCTATGTACATTAATTTATGTTTTTTTAATGGTTTGTACTGAGCGCAGATGGAAACTTATCTCCCTCAGCTAATTATAATGCACCCATCAACTTTGTGCCTAGCAATGAAGAAAGCTCTGCTTAGTTCAAGACAGCTGAATGAATAACACACAATTCATGCAGGGAAGATAATTTTGGAGCAGCGTTAATGGGCTAAAGAGCAGCACAGTGTACAAATGATGACAGTAATAAAGTAAGGAATATTAGATAAGTAGTAGCCTATTGCCAGATAAGATTCCTCTTTGCCTCTGTACTTAAAAGTAGGTGCTATTTCTTCTCAAGCATATCTAGATATTCTTGTTCCTAAACGTTTTATGCTCCCTTGCAGTTGTACAGCTTTGACTAATGTTCCATGTGCTCTTTATTTCTTCCAGAGCCTGCGCTCAGTGAAGACTTACAGCAGTCCTCAGCTGTGTCTAGCCCAACACAGACAGGCCCTGTGATGTATATGCCATCGGCAGCTGGTGATTCTGTTCCTGTCAGCCCTTCCAGTCCACATGCCCCAGACCTTAGCAATGTATGTAGCACTGTGGGGAAGCCATGTCCATATCTTACAAATCTGGGTTTCTCTGAGTCACTGTACTTCTTTCTTGCAAGAAGAGAAATCTTAAGTATCCAAAAGCCAAAAGGATATGACATTTTTCTTTTAGAGCTCAGCTTCACACTTCTTAGAGGGACCTATTTGTTTAGAATATATGATTAGTGGTTTTAGTATTGTCCTCTCACCTATAAAATTTCTAAGCCTTCCTTTCTGTGCGAAGTTTGTTGATGTACTTTCAGGAAAGTGGAATACATCCGCACATGAAGTCCAACTCCTTCCTGTCTGGAGGTACATGTTGGGCTTAGTTTCCAAGTACTTTAATTAAAGGCTGTGAGCCAATAACATCTAAAGTACATAACTACAATCGAGTTTGTTTACATATGTAATCTCAGAGGCTTAGCCTGTGCATAGTGTTTGTTGCATTATAAGATATCCTCGATTCCCTCCCTCTTCTACTTCTGGAGATAGCTAAACTCTGGATTATGTTTAAGTAATGCCACAGATAGTTGGTAGTACTTTATTTTAGTTGTACATACACTGAGAGAGATCTTTAAATGCTGAACAGACACACATAGACAGATAAGAAGCCCATGGAATGCTAGACCACTTCATTTTTTTTCTGAGATTTTTTTTTTGTTCGTTAAGTCTTTCCTGTTTGCACTACTGTTGATAAGGTGTGTGACCTTTTCAAATGGTTGGTTGAGGTTTTGAGAAGGTAAAATGACATGAGTTTAACTCATTTGAAACTGGTTGGAATGAGGTGAACTCATTTAGGACCTCTGTTTTATCTTATTCCCCTTCTTTGAAAAGAGAAGCTGATAGTTTGATTTTACTAGCGCCAAAGGCAATCAAACAGTTCATAGTTCTCCTGAATTTGATTGCAGCTAGAATTCCAAACAGATCTTGAAACTCTGGGCGTGTTATTTTCCTCTCACTAAATAACACTGGAAAGCAGTAAAAAACAAAACCCCTTCATCTTATTAATGTATCATCTAAATTCTCTGAAAACTGCAATGAAATTGAAGATATCTTCCACTTAATAGACTGTTTAGGTCTTTTCTATTGCAAGCTCTTAGTCTTTTAAACAGTCTTTCCTAATCCTTGGATATATGCCAAACGGGAATGCATGTCTTTCTGTGACTTCATCACTCCACAGGGCGTCTGTATGTAGCTTGCAAACAAATATGGCTTTGCTGGTGATCATTTTACATGATGAATTAATCAGAGAAAAAGGTCCCTCTAGCAGCCAGCCTCACGTGGCCTGTTCTGTTTTGTATTTGTACTGTAGGTGTGGAATAAATCAGGAACTCTGCCAACTAGCCCTACCTCCACCACAGTGAGTAGTATCTTTGCAACTGTAGGGAAGCGTGGACAGCAGAATGTATAAAAATAAAATCAAAACATTGTAGGATGCTCCTTCTTTCTAATGCCAGCCCAGACTGTGCCACACTTGAATCTGTGGTAGCAGTAGCTGTCTAAATGTTGTATGAAGCACAGTCATGCTTGCCAGTGCAGGCAAGTAATTTCTTGTCCCAGAGAAATGGGATATCTGCACTGATCCAGGTAGGCGCTTTCTGTAAAAACTCTTCTTAATATCCTTTGCTGCTGTCTGTGGCTTCGTCTACAGTGCAAAACGAGCCTTGTTGCATGTGGCTGTGATCCCTGGTTATAGTCCAAAGAATGGAACTGTTGGAAATCCTTGGGTTTTTTAATGCAGCTGTTAATATTTGGCTTGTGCCTGCATTAAAACTTTCAGATTTCCAGCTGCAAGTCAAAAGATGCAGTATTACACGTAGCTCAGATATGCTTGGTTGTTCTGACTGCCATAGCACACCTTTCCAGGTTTCACACTACTACTCAGAGTGCAGATAGGATTCACTGTAGCCTAAGGAAAGTGAAGAGAGTTTTGGTCAGGTTTGGAAACTTGTTCATTTGCATCTGAGGCCTCAGAAAGAATAAATGTCACTAGAGCTGTAGGTCGGTTTTTGTAAGACTGCACTACCAGACAAAGTAATGACAATAAAGCCATAATTGTGGGACTGTATAAATCCAGTGTTTACTGGAGCTTTTTTCCTGGTTTTTATTAGTTTACTGGAAGCTTGTATGCTTGTGTTGACTGTCAGTATAATCGATGCACAGTGAAGTAAATGAGCTCTTCTGTGGGATGCCTCTCCTCTTCGAGTCGTTGCTACTTGCTGGCTGTAGTTTCCTGACACTTGTTCCTTCTACTAGATTCTTTGTAGGAACAGCAGTCTCGGAAGCCCATCTAATATATGTGGGTCTCCTCCTGGTGCCATTGGAAAGCCACACAGCTTGGAGACCATTGGTTTTCCTTCCGACTCAGTAACAGCAGCTGGCAGCTACAAGAAAGCACCGGGGTTTGAGCGAGAAGATCAGGTGGGGGCCGAGTATTTGAAGAGTTTCAAATGCCAGGTTAGTAGGGAATACTGGCTGGAAGAGTTGGGGGGATGTGGAAGAATGAGAAATTGCCCAATCTAGCTTGAATGTATTTTTATTTTTCAAGGAACAAAAATGAGAAAGCACTATTCTCATTGGCAGTTCTCAGATCCCTGCTGTTGCTTTCGGTCTCCTTTCCAGTCTCTTCCATCTTACATCTGTTCTTGTCTGCCTAGCTGCCATCACACACTCAATTTGTAGAAGCTGAGCTGCTGCTTGGTTTCCTAATCCCTCACGACTTCTGTCCTGTGGTGACCCTGGGTAGTTTCCCACATATCACTTCTTGCTCTTTCTTTTTCCATATTTAGGTCCTTGCCAAGAGTTGCTGTTTCTTTTGCTGTATTGTCTCGTGGAAACTCATCCTTCCTTCTCTGTTCTCACTCCGAACTCTTACCTTGATCTCCGTGACTTGGTTTGTCTTTGTTTTCACCATTCATTTCTCCAGTGTATTAAAAATGTCCTGTTAGTTGTTTCTTGCTTCTCTGGCTGTATCATTCTGAGATTTGACTCTCTCCTGTGGCTTCTGTATTAAATTTGAATTCCTCATTCTCATTTGAAGAACCCTCTGCAATCTTACCCAACCCACATTGCTAATGACATTCCCTCTTACCCCTTTTGGATATCCGTCTTGCCTTGCTGCTTCCTCAGTCTTCTCCTTCTTGGTTTCATGCCTTATTCAGACTGCTCCCTAAGCCTAGAACAGGCTTTTCCATCTCTTCTGCCACACATGAGCTTTTCCACAGTTAACTTCTTACTGTGAATTTCCTTTCTTGATGCTACAATTAATAGTTTCTCTGCACCGTCCCTTCCAAGTCAGCTGAGACCAACCCAGAGCTTTGGTCTCAGTTTTTATTCATCACTGGGTTTGTAAATGTAATGGAACATCATCTCGATTTAGGAGACAGAATAGCTACTTTTATGCAGAGGTGCCTGCAAAAATATTTCCTACAAGTTGTTTTTATAAAAAATATAAAAAGGAATAAAAATACCTGGTCTATATTGCATGAAAACAGAGATTACAAGAAATGCTGCTTTCAGCCTGGCTTAATGTAAACTCTTGTCTGCAATACTAAAGAAGCTAGCCTTATTAAGCTTCTACTTCTGCATTAGTATTGCACTGCTGTGAGAAAACAGTGGAAATATTCCATCCCTGTACAGACAAGATCTTGCATGCAGTAGTCGGATTTAGAAGCAGACTGTGTGGGTTTTGTTTTATATTTATTTTTACAACTTTGGGAAAATGACCAAACTTTGCAGTAGGACCAGTCTTGCACACTGTTTAGTCTAATTAAAATGACTTAGTGACAAATACAGGTGAAGCTATATGTATGTACGCTTTCTTATAAATGCTTCCATTGTCTTGCTTAATGTGGATGTGGCTTAGGAAATTGCATATTGATGCAACACATCTTTGGGGGTAAAGAGCAGACCATGCTGTGATCCTGGCGCTTCTTGCAGGCACAGCAGCTTGTAGCAGTTGTTTAGAAACAAAAGAAAAAACATGTGCTCCTTCTCTATTGCCTCTGCTGCAAAGGAGGAGTGAACCCAAAGCCGAAGGACTGAGAGAACCCCTGTTTCCTGCTAGCAGAGGCAGGGTGCCAGGGAGGCCCTGCCTTGGAGCAAACGGGCAGCAAGCCTAAGCCAAGGAGAAAGGGGATGGGGCATGAATAGGACTTTTAAAAGGAGGGCCAGATGATGAGCTTTTATGTCTGAAGTCCAGGCTGTGCTACAAAGATACTGTATTCAGATAGCTTATGTGGCTTTAATTAAGCAAAAACCTGTGTTAAATGACTGGAATAAATAGCTATTAAGACATAGACAAAAGTAATCACAGTTGCCTTATGCTAGGCTCCTACAGGCAAAATTAGGTGTCTCATAAGTGTCCTGATCTAATTTTCTTTTAATCTATAATTACTTACTTTTTTTAATCCTCTGTAATTCCCTTTGGCTGCAGTGAGCACCAGAGATTCTCATACATCCTGTAAATTAGACCAGTAATTAGGCATTTAACTTTGTTCACTCATATTGGAGAACTTGAGACACACTCTGGCTCAGCTCTGCAATAGGCTTGTCATTTTTCCTTTGTAGAATTAGTACAAATAGTTTGTACCTTATTAGAATGAAAAATGCACCTTCTGTGTTAATAGGTTCCACATAGTTTGTGGTAAGGCTGAGCCAGCAGTTAAAGCTAAAAATACTTTTTCCGAGTCCCAAAAGATTCAACAAGCTGGAAGAATGCTGGCTGTGCTGGAAGGACTTGAGGGCCACGACCAGGAGGTGTTCCCAAGTCCTGACACACACTACAAACACAGTAGGCTTGTTCCATGCTGGTCAGAAAACATTTGGTTTCACTCGTAATTTATGTCCCTTGTTTTCTTCCCTGAGTGCAACAGAGTGAACTGGAGAATTTCAGCCTGCCCTTCGAATTTCTGTCTTGATGTATGCCCTTTTTAATGTTATTCAGAGCTAAAGGAGACTGGCGTAGTGGTGACAATCGATTTGCTGCATTTTTCACTGGTGTTATATGAATTCAAGGTAGTGGGAATTTGGACTAGCTTAGAAATGAGTTGACTTTTTCTCCTCCTTAAAAGAAAAAAAAAACCCTTCCAGTAAGCCTCAAGTGCACCAGAGCCAGCTAGCAACATTGGCAGGAAGCCTCTCGGGGCAGGGGAGGTGGGCACGGCTGTGTATGTGCCTTCACTTTAGCTGCTGATGTCTGTTGATAGCACATCGTGTGTTCAGATGAGCGTCAAACAGGGTAGGGATGTGTTGGATTATCTAGCAGGCGTGTTAGCAGCCGCACACAGAGGCTTTAATGTAATGCATCTATTGCTCTCAAAGGAAAACAAGCCTGTGATTGGTTCAGTGGTAGTTTTGCTGGATGTAAACGCACTGTATGTTGTTCAGGGAAGCATGAGATAATGGTACCCACCACAGAAGGATCTTTGCATCCACATTTCAACTGCCTGTTGCCAGGCTTTGACCTCCCCATCTGCCCATAGGCATACAGTTAAGCAGAGAAAATGATTTAATTAAGTAAAACCAAGGGATGAATTCTGCTGCTGCTCTTTCGCCTGTCTGGTTATGTCATCCCTCTCCAGCAATCATTTATCTTATTCATAAGATTGTTTAAGCCAAAAAGTCAAGGCATATCACTTGAGGTCAGCGTGGCGTCTCGTGCGCTGCGGTTGTACCTAGTGCCTGAATCTCCCCTGTAGAGATGGTGACTGCCTGCATTTGCAATAAAAACAGTCGAGCCGAGTTTATGCATGGAGTTTGTCTCTGATTCAGACTGGAGGTAGGTGGAGAGTGAGTAAACAAGCAGCCCTGACTCTCACCACTTTTTTGCTCCCTCTCCAGGCCGAGAGGGTGTGATTGATCTCCCTGTGCCTTACGCATGTATTGGCATGGGAGGAGCGGAGCAAGGCCCGCAGAACAGACCGTTACACACTGACAAGCTCAAGAGGCCACTTCCTTCCCAGCTCTGCTTACTGTAGCTCAGAATTGACTGATGTTGTGAGGCAAGAGGGTTGATATCTGTTAAGGATATACTGCTGGAAGGTCCTTAGGTTGGATAGTGGAATTCTAAATGTATATTGGCATTCATGCAGTTTTGCAATTCCAGACAGCCTCGACCTCACTTACGTTTTATAGCTTTGAGCTCTCTATGTTAGTGGATGGGGGAAGGATTTATTTTTTTTTAAATCGGTTTTGATGTTGCTTTTAAAATTGGTTAGTTATCACTTTATTTTACTTTGCAATCCTAGCTGGGAGCTGAAAAGGTTTGAGGGGAAAACATAATTTACATACTTTATTTTCCCAAAGCTGAAAAATGTTTACATAACTTAAAAATGTAGTGTGCCTCCCACCATTTCTGGCACTATTTTTAGGTACTAGTAGGGCTGATGAGTTATTTATAGCGAGGCAAAATAATTCATTTTTGGTCTTCGTTCTTAAGATGTCCTTTGTGCTAGCAGAGGACTTACAGCAACATTGAAGGCAAATGTAATTGTGACATGTCTTTGCATAATTCTAAGGGTGATGTCTTGGTATATAGAAAGCAAATTACTTGGGGTGTTTTCAGTTTGCTGTGCTTTCGTGCTCTCTCAGTTCTCTAGTGCTCAGAGCAGGCTGTAAGAGAGGAGGGGACTGCGTTTCCCATGGCTTCTTCAAAGCCAGCAGTCAGGCATTTTTAGTTTTGTTGCTAATCCCTCTGCTTATCTTTTGTTCTGTTTCTTTACTGCAGCAGGCAAAAATGAAGTCTCACTCACTGGAACACAGGAGCCAGGAGCAACCTTTGTTACAGCCCAAACAGGTATGGTACTGCTAGCAGGGCTCTGAACCTAGCTCAGTGCTCGCACCACCACAGCCAAGGACAAGAGAAATCTCTGGATGCAGGCAACTCCACAGGGAGTAAATGACAGTCCAGACACCATTAGGGATGCTCAGCTTGAGGGATTACTTTATGAAGATGGGATGATTTGCTGGAGGGGTTATTTGTGAATGGCCTGACCTGTGTAAATTCGGGATAGATTCATAGGCCTGGACTGTGCTGGAGAGAGGGTCTCCAAATTACAGAAAATTGAGCTGAAATGGATCTCTGCAGTCATCTAAGTTCAAGGATTCGGCAAAGAGAATTTAATATCAGGTTCTAAGTTGTGTGCTGAACTAAGTCTGAGTGAGTGATTGTGTGACCCATCCCTATGATTGCATGCAACCTGTGGGGCACAGGAGTTAATTCTGGGGCAGCCTGAAGGATGTTTGTAATGCTGGGGTGGGGGTGGGGGGTGGAATGGACAGACGGAGAACAGTCGGCAGAAATTAAAGCAAAGCTGTTAATCTCTTCCCCCACCCCCAGCCCAGTAGTAGTACCAGCCATCTGTCAGGTTGGAAGCAAGCAGGAACAGGTTTGCTGCTGATCTTTGGCTCATTCCTGCATGTTTCTGAAGAGGTTCTTTTATAAAGATGTTTTATTTCCTACCTTTTTCCCTTTTAAAACTCTTGTTTCAGGACATACTGGGTATTCTCCCAGTGGGGAGCCCCCTGACATCCAGCATCTCCTCTAGTATCACCTCCAGTCTGGCTGCCACGCCACCAAGCCCTGCCGGCACCAGCAGCATACCAGGCATGAATGCCAATGCCCTTCCTTTCTACCCAACCAGTGACACCGTTGAGTCTGTCATAGGTAACTTCACCTTTTTTATTTATGCTAATAGGGCTTCCTCAGACGTGGATCACCAGGTATGAGAATTGGAATAGCATGGGTGTTCCAGTGAACTCCAGTTTTTCATCTCTGTCGGTGTTGGCAGATTCCTGAGGCTGTAAACTTTTTCTGTGACTGTGACACATCTGATGTTTTCTGCAGGTCATTATGGATGAAATTCACCCACGGGACCAACAGAAGGCCTCTGAGCCACTTACTCAGAATGTCAGATGGTGTAAAGGGCCTTAGTTTTAGGTTTGTCAAAGTGACAAAGAGGTCTTGGAGTAGGCAGGAAATCAGAGGGGCCTTTCCCACAGTTACAACCCCTTACATTTTAAATGACAATTTTATAGCAGGGGCTACCACTAGGTATTTTGTAAGGACTTGCCCTTCATAGAGTGTAGGACATAGGCTGTAAGAAAAAGGAGAACAGTAGAGTCCAGAGAGTGGAATCACCCCTTTTAGATAGGTACAGACTTTTTGGTCACCTGCTTGTTTTGGGGTTTTTTTGTTTAATCTAACGTTTCTGAGGTCATCTCACTAATTTGTTAAAAATAATAATGGAAATGAGTGGGCATGTGTGGGGTGGAATTACATGGATCATGATTAGTGATAAGGCATGTTCAGATAGATATAACATTTGCAGACATTCATAAGTTTTCCTTTTTTTACCCCATCTTTGAACCTCAGAGGTGATTTTCAAGTGTTCCCTTATACTGGTATTTCTTTTCTGAGTGGCTCTTCAGCAAAGTAGGGACAAAGCATAAGCCAGACCGAGACATGTCATAAGCCAGTGTTATTGCATATTATGGACAGACTTGAAAGAGCAGTTTGGGGGAAGACTTATGGGAACTGCTGTTATTTCATCAAATTTTTGTTTTCATATAACACTTGAGAATACTTTGAGACAAAAAGAAGTCAGATCAGGCAAAAGAACCTGAACTGAAAAGCTGCCCATGACACTTCTGCCAAACCATTTAAGAACAGCGTTGCACAGGGCGGAGAGTAGGGCTGTGCAGACTGAAAAATAGAGAGCGAAAGCTCCTCTGCATGTAGGCTCTTTGGGCCATCCTATCTCTTGAAGTTGTTGGTCCTTTATAACATAATTGGTACCTCTGTGTCTGGCAGAGTCTGCCTTGGATGACCTGGACCTGAATGAATTCGGAGTGGCTGCCCTGGAGAAGACATTTGACAGCAGCACAGTGCCCCACACGAGTGGCATCATGATAGGTACATGAAAGCAACAGAGCTTTCTTTATCTTCTGCCAAGCAGTGTTGCCCAGTCACCTCAGTTGAGCCAGCCCAACAAAGCTCTAAAACCAGTCCCAAAGTAACCTTGGTTAAAACAGCAATTATAACCAACTCTGGCAACCACTGAGCATCTTTGAAGTGAAAGCTTGCCCTAATTGACTAGCAGAGCTGAGTTCTTGCCATTGGGCCCAGGTGTCTTGGGGATGTTTCTTGAGACTGAATGGACTTGATCATTTTTTTTTTGAAGTGTGTAAGTAGACTCTAGAATGCACCTGATACCTTTAAAAACAGGCCGAAGTATAACGATGTGCATCCTAAGCAGAAAACTCTCCCTAGCAGTAACAGGAAACTCACTGACCTGGTAATGCTATCCATCTGTCACAGTGTTGTCATGGTCTGCTGATTTGATGCCTGTAATGTCTGTCTCATTTTAATCCGTGGAGGTGGGCTCTTCTACCTGTCTCTAAGGACTGACTAGGGAAAAATGAAACGTCTCATAGCTTTTTGGAAGTGGTTGTAGTTTCTGGCTACCCTTGCTGTGTAAGACAGGTTTTGAATGAGGCTAACTTTGGTGGTCTGAAGGTTTCCAAGGGAACTGCACTGCCTGGAGCTGTATTGAACTGGGGAAGGACCCTAAAAAAAGAAATCACTTCCACTTCCCTGCCAAAGATAAGAGCCTGGTCGGGGAGTTTACCGTGCATGTCTGCTGATACCCCTGCTTCTGCTACTACCCATCTGCAGTGGCTTAGAGATCCTCCACACTGCTTTTTCCTCTATTCACATCTGGTCTGGGTGTTACTTGGTGATCTTCTAAGAAGGGAGATCAGGAGAGAGTGAGGAGCAGGGCTGAGATCTCCCTCATGTGTGTGGCAGACAGGATGACCTCTTGTGTAAGGGAAGTGTGATGTCTTTGGAGGATGGGCTTTTGTTTATTTGAGGTGGTTTATTACTGATAGATCCAGGCACTCAAGTATGTCTAAAATGACTAAAGCTAGTCACTGATCTTTAGTGGTTAAGATCATGGCCTGACCCAGCGTTGATAGTCTTCTCACTACAGGTTGTTTGGAAGTATTAAAGGTAGAGGCACATGTTTTAGAAGTGAATTTTTCATTACAAAGTATGTCACCAGATACCAAATTCATCTTCTCTAGACTGACAGGGTCTGAACTCTGCTCAGAAAACCTTTTGTTGCTTTGGCCGATGAAAGAGTAGTCCATTGAACTCTGGAGGGTCTTAACCTACATGGTTCATGGGACAGCAGCTTCAGTGTTCCCCTTAAAGGCTGAGAGGGGAATGAAACATCATGAGAAGTGGAGGGAATCCCAGGGGGCTAAGGAAGGAGAGAGGGAAGCTAATGCCTTCTGCTCTGAACTCCTGCAGTGTGCTCTGCCCATACTTCATGGTCATACATAGCCATCCTCTCTGTGTTCTTTGTCCAGGTGGGAGTTTGCTGCAAAGTTCTGCTCCTGTAAATATCCCCGGGTCCCTTGGAAGCTCTGCCTCCTTTCACTCTGCCTCTCCTTCTCCACCGGTCAGCCTCTCATCGCATTTCCTCCATCAGCCCCAGGGACACTTAAGCCAATCAGAAAACACGTTCCTGGGGACATCAGCTTCTCATGGATCATTAGGTAAATGCACAGTGTGTGTGTCCCATGTACATGCCTGTCTGTGCCATGTAAGTATTTTCTTTTAAGTTAGCTTTAATTTTAATGTGTTATTTCACTGCTACCATTTGTATCTCCTCTTCCCGTGAGAATAGCAACCGTACTAGAAGCTGCTTTGCCAAAAAATCAGCTAATACCTTGTGAACAAGGGAGCAGTTCCCTCTGCTTCCCATGTATCTAGGCTGAGAAAAAGAGTTAAGTGACTTGCTCTGATGCCTGTCAGGGAAAAGAGCTCTGCCTTTCCCTGTCAATAATGCTGTGCCGAGACTCCACTTCACATAAAACTCAGAGTTGGGTCCTCAGCTTTACTTAGTTAAGGTGGGGATTGCAATTTGCCCATGGGACTGCTTGTAGGTCATGCTGGCTTTTGAGGCTTTTAGAGCAGACTTGGGTCGTTGTACTTTTCTCCCCTGTTTGGCACTCTGCATGCAGTTTTGCAGTATGGACTTTGCAAAACATTAGTGTTCCAGCTTTGTTCCCTTTGCTCCCTTCTCCCCCCTCCACCCGCCCCCTTAAGGATCATTTTCCTGTATGAGGGACTACAAAGAGAAGACAAATTGCTTTTGAGCTTCGGCTGTATCAGGCAGAGCTTGGAACTGAGGGGCCAAATCTATTTTATTATCCAGATGCAGGGTTACCTTGAGAAATGAAACTATTCGATGGGCTCAAGGCTACAGTGATGTGTGTTCTGCTGATTTCTGTGTTAGTAACAGTATATATCAGTTCTGTCTATTGATATTAGATGTAAACACTTCTTCAAATTTGAGACACACTTTAATCTTGAATATTAAGCTTAACCTAATAAAATGATTACATGCCTTTGTAATCTATTCCTGCATGCATTTATCTGTGTAACTGCATCCCTTGTTTACATAGGCAAAAAACATGCTTCCATGCCTTGCAATTGCTGTTTGTTTGGATTTAACAGCTTTTATAATTGCTATAATACGAAAAGAGACATCAGAGGGCATCTCTGCTATTAATTAGTGTTGAGGCTGGCTGTTCATCTCGGTTTCAGTAAGAAAAGGAAAACTTGCTGATAAGGCCTGCTTTTAATTTCAGAAGAAACAAGCAGTTATATTTGTCTTGACTCTCTAGTTATAGTACTACTATGCACAAACAAAAAGACACAGAAATGCATGAAATTCACAAATGCATTTAAATAATTTATTTTTAAGAAAAAAGTTAGGGGTTTTGTATTACAGGAAAATACCTATTTTTGCTGAAGTTTTCATAATGTATTTAAATAGTAGCCTAGCAGTTGGGAATTTGGAATCTATCTATTCCATGTGACTTGCTGAATACACATAAGTTAGTGTGTAATGTGTGTAGTTATTACTTCTTTGTATTGCAGTTGCGTTAAAAATACCTAGTCCTGGGCCAGTTCCCACTGTGCTAGATGCAAAATGTACAGAGAAGGCATTCCTGACCAAGGGGGCTCGCTGCTTCAAATGTGAAATGAGAACAGCAGGTAGCAGGGGAGTAAAAAGACAAGATAAGCTCAGTCAGCATTATGGCAAAATTTGTGGCCTGCCAGCATCCTGCTTAGTTAACTCCCATTCAAGAAAACTGGAGTTTTAAAAACAAAATGTGAGTTTGGACTCCATTAAAACTTCTTGCTTTTAACTGAGCACGCTTCAAGCAGCTGAAGTGGATCTAGGATAAGTGACTTGAGCCAGCAAAGATCCCTTGCTGCTCTGCTAAATGACTTGTTAATGCCCCCAAGCCCTTAGTGAAGACAAGTTACTATTTTTGAGCTGTATTTTTATTTGTAACTGTTTGTGTCTTGACTGGTACTGAGTGGGAAGTAAGTGGTGCTGGGTTAGCCCTCAGTGCGAGACCATTGGCTCCAGGGCTTGCTTGCAGACACAGTCAGTTTGACTGCTGCAAGATCAGAATTATCAAATGCAGATAATTTAGATAATTCCTAAACTAGATTTAGGAATGTCCACAGCCAGTGGTGAGCACCACTAAATGAAAATGACTCCTACGTCAAACTGGTGCACGACTGTGTGCCTAAGAGTCCACATCACTCAGCAGCTCTGTCTCGATATGAGCTTTTATTACTGGTTCTCCCCCGAGTGCTTATTTTAAGTAAAAATATTTTTGTTATTAAAAGAGTACAAACCTTAGAGTCCGTGAAAAATAGCCAGTTTTGTTTAAAACTGGTTTTCTACTGCTTTGTCTCCTAAGCCTTGAATTTATTCCTGGAAAGAGAAATTATTTGAACAAGCTAAAATAGGGAAGTGGTTAGTTAGTCTTCTCCTGTGCCAGTCACTAGTTTTATGCTAGAACTCTGCAGGGGGTGAAGCTGATGAATATACTATCGCCTCTACTTGTTTATAAACAGGGTTTTCCAGTTAGTGCTGTTTCGTGCATATGCAAACAGTAATGATGTGGGCGCATTTTAGTCTTACTGCTTGCGAAGTGAGACTGCTTTTCTAAGCACCGAGCTGAGGAGACAAAAGCAGAAGTTTTCTTAGGGTATGGTGTCAGAGGAAGCACCACCTGAGTTGGCTGCGTGAACCAGTCTGTTCAGCAGCGCTGATGGCTGTGTGAGTAAGCAGTTCAGAGGTTCTCATATGAGAAGGGGGATTCAAGCTGGTAGTCAGCCCTGCTCTACTCAGTTTCTTGGGTCCTCCCTGTATCATTAAAGATGAGGTCTAATGATGGGAATCTTCCCCTAATAAAGTCCATCTATGACAGACTCCTGGGCCCTGAGGAGGAAAGTAATTCTTAGGATGATCGTTTTTTTTTCTATGTACAGTTTTGAATCCTGGATTTCACAGGGGTAGGGAGGAAATGGGGGAATCACCAGCACCTGTGACATAACCCTCTCTATTTCCCTGTGAAACAGGTTTAAATGGGATGAACAGCAGCATATGGGAACACTTTGCTTCGGGGAGTTTTTCGCCCAGTACCTCACCTGCGTTTCTGTCAGGTCCAGGTGCTGCGGAGCTGGCACGGCTACGACAAGAACTGGATGAAGCCAATGGCACAATAAAGCAGTGGGAAGAGTCTTGGAAACAAGCCAAACAGGTACTTAACTCCTGGGAAGAGGGATTAGGAAGTGTAAAGGAGTAGGAGGGTGTCAGCCTTCAAAGAGAAGCTTTCCAGACATTGAGGTGACAGGAAGAGCTGTAGGTTTTACAAACAGATTCTCTTAAGCATTCTTATTTCTCTCTTCTGCCTTGGAAAGGGGGACTGAATCACTGTGCCTGATGTGTTCAGATGCTGGACGCGCAAGGCCTGGTGTCGTAACAGATGCACTGAGGTGCTTGACTGTCTTTTGGACCTGGCAATTGACTTAATCCATGACAATTTGCCGCTCTGCAAAGTTCATCCCCTTAACGGTGTGAGCCAAATACCCCATCTGCTTTGGCTGTAGTTCTGTGTATCTGGAATGAGCAGCACTTTGAAACATCCTTGGAGCTTCCCTTCAGAATTTGGGAATGGGACAGATTGGACAGAACACACTCCTGCTGAGGAGTGTATGAAAATGGATAGTTTTGCCTGGGATTCTCTATTGGAGGCTGACGGAGTTTTCAGACTTCTGCTTTTACCCTCTTTGTTGGAACCTCTAGGCTTGTGATGCTTGGAAAAAGGAGGCAGAGGAAGCAAATGATCGCGCCAACACAGCTAACATGGAATGTGAACTGGCCCGCGAGCAGAGGGAAGCCTTGGAGCTGCAAGTGAAGAAACTGCAGGAGGAGCTGGAGAGGATCCATGCGGGCCAGGACCCTCAGTTTCTGCGCTCCTTCTCTGACTTGGAAACTCTCTCGCTCTCTTCACTTTACACGCTTCAGAAACAGCTGCGGGCAAACCTGGAGAAAGTCGATAAGGTGAGTGTCAGGGATTTGCAGGGCTGGGCCTTGCTCTCTCTGCTCCTACAGATTGCAGCTTTTTCCCCTTTTCTTTTAATAGTGCCAGGAATCAGCAGCCTATCAAAGCAATTCCATGTGGATGTAGCCAAAGTGAGTTCTAGCCAGCTTACAGGAATATGTATATATAAATACCTACCTCTTTGTGCCGAAAATACAGAGTTTAAGTCAACTAAATCTCTGTTGATGCTAAAGGTCCTAAAAGACGACATGCTGTGCTGCTCTGCTTTTTGCTTCAGAAGATGAACGGGCTGACAGCTGCAAGTCCTTCCGCTGCTGCCTCCTTGCTGTTCCCCAAACTGCGTAGCACGGGGTGGGAATCCTTTTGCTTTGTGACTTTGCTTATGTTTTGCCCTGTCCCGCTCTCTTGCAGGCAGTATTTCAGATGCAGTCAGTGAAATGCCTTAAGTGTCAGGAGGAGAACCGGGTGGTGTTACCGTGCCAACACGCAGTGCTGTGTGAATCGTGCGCCGAGGAGGGCGAGTGCCCCATCTGCCATCCCAACAGGCCCCACTCTCTCCAGTCGTGACCTTCCAAGGACGCTTGTTCTAATCATATCGTATAGAACTTTTTAACTTTATACATACGTACATATATATGTATGTGTACATATATATATGTATGTGTATATATATATATGTATATATGTGTGTGTATGTGCATGTTTGTGTATGTATCTATATGCACACACATGCACATACACACATAAAACAAAAATTAGTTGCAGAGCACTTTTTAATATTTTACATCCCGTATCTAAACTGCCCCTCACCCGTGCCCCACTAATTCTAACTCTTGAGGAACTTTGAGAGCTGTTTTTAATACAGATCAAAGGGCCATTTACAAAGAGTCTGTGTTTCTCCTCTTTTCTATTTAGGTGATAACAAATTTTTGACTATTTCCAGAAGGATTTAGAGTGGGCAAGAGGGGCTTCCATGTGCTTTCCAGAGGAAGAGTTGAGATCACGGGGAGGATCGAGGTGGATTGAAATGACTTGTTCATGTCTTCGGTCTCCCTGTTCTTTCACTGACCCAGCTTGGTTAAAGCCGTCCTCCCTGATGGAAGCTCCGCTGGGTGCCTGCCTGGTGGGCCTCATGTTGCCAACCTCTGAATGTGCAGGAACTTTGTCTGTCATTTAATCAGCAAAGTTCGCTTTTTAAATTTTTTTTTACACTCTTTGTATATTTCTATGAAAAGTAGAAAAGAGGGAAAAAAATGTATTGGATCTAGAGCAAGCCAAGCCCCAAAATTAAGTGACTAGTGTTCATTGCTGATACAGCTAACATATTCCAGGTCTGAGCAGACTTAGAAGTATTGCTGTTGTGTCAGCTAAAGCCCTTTATGAAAGAAATATAGATGCACAGGTTAGTTCTCTCCAGGCACCCCTTTGTCTGGTGGCTGTCTAGAGACTTTTTACTGTTTCAGACCAAATTAATTTCGTTTTAGCCACAGGGACCTGATTCATAGCTGCTGCTGAAATGCATCAAACAATTCCAGGTAGTTTGAGGATACTTTTGTCGAACAGAGTTGATGTTTTCCTGTGTCAGCACCTCAAGGATGGGTTGTGTCCTACTGGGTCCAGAAACCCTTGTGCTAGAGATCATGTATGCCTGTGGTGACAGAGAAAGTCCAGCGTGACGATAAAATGCCACCAGCTTAGACCTGTCCACTAGCTGAGCTTTCCTGTGACTTTCTCTACCAGTGTGTCCATTGGATTTTTACATCAGGTGGATTGCAGTAACCTGCTGGGATCTCAACCAAAAGGCCGCTCAGTTGACTAAACATTTTATTTTGCACAGGGATTCTGCCTGTGCCACCCCTCGCTGACCTGGAAAAGCACTGGAACCTCCGGCAGCCCACTGTTGTAGGAAAACTTAATTTTTACCGGAGCCTCTCAGAAAGCTTCATATTTAATGCAAAGACATAATTAGGTTTGCTTCCATAATTCCACCTTTCCTTTACATGGAAGGGGTTAATATGCATTCCCAGATGATCTCTTAAGTGCAGCTCTGTGTAGTTCTTTTTTTATGTTTTTCCCATTAACTTGTTTTTGGGTTTTTTGGTAAAAATGCTTTTTTTTCCATGTGTATTTTGTTGTAACTAGCATCAGGTTTTTTTAATTTTTTTTTTATGGAGAGACACTGTTGAGTGATTATTGTGGCTATGTTGTTTGGTTATAGCCTTTGAATGTCTGTGCCATGGGGCAGCACATCTGCCTTGGTCTGATTTTAAGGAAAGACCTTTTATTAAAATACGTGAACATTTCTTTTTTAGGAAAAAAAAAAAGTGGGGGGAGGAGGAAAAAGCCCAATTAAGATAAAAATTTACTAAAAGGTTTTTGTAACTAACTTAAACCATAGGAAATAAACTCTTGAATCAGGTCTGTAATATTTATAAGAGCCAGAGCTGATCAGCCTCTTTTGGCTATTGCTTTGTAACACACACTTTTTATTAGCGTGGTGGTTTATCCGCTTTCCTGCCTCCCTGGGGGACCGTTCAGGGTGACGCTGCCTTTGGCCAAGCCGCTTTTTCCAGAACTGTCCAGCACCCGGCTGCGTGACTGCATCCGATTCCCACAGGGGCTCTTCGCTTTCTCCCCTCGCTTCAGAGGGAACTGGTCCGCTGGAGGCAGCTCTGGCTGGCTGTGGGACTTCCAGGCGCGGTGTGATGCAGGGCCGTCGGGTCGAGGGGGAAGAGAGAGTTGTCCCCAGCTTCTGGGGGGGCAAACTGCTTAGGCAAGGGGGTACAAGGAGAATTCCAGGCCAGAGAAAGCATGTGTTTCCCTTTTGAGTAATACAGTTTCTCTGTTTTTTAAAACTTATACTGAAGGACCAAAGAATTCAAAACTTCCCTCGTTTGTGGCCCTTAAAATTTAACGTTCCATTGCCACACTGCACTCATGGCAGAGCAGCCTGAAGGAATTAGCACTAGCCCTGGGATGCCACATCCCCTTCCCTTTCCCCCCAACCTAACGTATCTCAGCACTCTCTTTGCACAAGCACATAGACTGTTTCTTTCCTCTGGTTCTTTAAGAAACACTTCTTAAATTTAGGATTCTATGAATTTGTTTGCTGCTTTAAAAAAAAAAAAGATCTGAAATGTGAATTATTTTCTTAAGCATCAGATGGAAAAGAGAACTTCATCTTTGAGTATTTTGTGAATATTTTGGGGGGCCACTTATTCATAACTGAGTGAGGTGAGAGCAGGGGAAAGGGCAGCATTTCTGACCCACTCCAGCAGTTGTTACTGCCTGCCCCAGGCAGGAAGGATGAACCGTAATCACAGCACTGTGATTAAGGCTTAAGAGTCTGGGGTCAGCTTCTGTGTGGTGTAAAGAGTCTTGTTGAAATAAACCTGGTGCTAATGTGTACAGCCCCTGTAATTTGAAGCAGGAACTCCCTTTTACAGGACACGCAGTAACACATCAGAACTAAGGGGGCTTTTTTTGGCGAAGTCACGCTTCAAAACGACATTTTGGTCCACAAGGTTTCCTGATGAGCAGCCCAGCTGGCTGTTCCTGAGCAGCCGTGAACACAGCTGGGTCCTGCCTCTTCACACAGACTCCTTATTGGATAATGACATTTTCCTCCCCAAATTTTGGGGAGCTTCAGAAGTGTTGACCTCAGTGACTAATCGTGCAGGTTGGACACTTCTGAGTTGAGAGCTGGGGGCAGGGAGTCTTAATTGTGTTGTGAAACCACAGTATCTTAAAGGTCAATAGACTTATACATTATTATGGAAAAACAATATAGAAGCAGATGGCTTAAGACAACACTATCTTGGGTAGACAGATACCAAAAAAGCAAGGCTAGAGCTGTAGACCATAGCCAGGAGCTGAAGAATTTTGGCATCGCTTTGGGCTAACAGGACCACTTTTAGATCATCTCCAGCCTTAGATGACGTAGCCGCGTGCCAGCTGTGGCGCAGGAGGGACCGGGGGCGAGTCTCGGAGCTGGAGCACAACACTTGCCTGAAGCAGACCCCCGCGCAGGGGTGTGGCTGCAGCTGATCCCCTGCCGAAGGGTTTTACGCTTTCCGTACATCTCTGAAGCTGAACCTGAGCCACTTGCAAGGCTTGTGCAGCTGAGACAATGAAGTCCTTACCCTGTGAGGAAGCCTGTAATGCTGAACGGACTCAGTAATTCATTGCTGTTCCACCAGCCTCCAACCCTCCTCTCTTTCTCCTTTTCCCCCCATCTGAGGAGGAAGAATAGTACCAGTGTTTTTCCTCCAGAGTTATAATTATCTTTGGAGTGATGGCCAACAGCAAAATAGATGTTACTGATGTAAAACCTAGTATTTTAAAGGTGAAGTATTCCTGCAAACTAGTGACTGCAGCGGAGAGCTTTCTGGGGCTTCCCCACTCCGTAGCTTCCAATGTTAAAACAAAGTAAATACAGTATACGTTTTAAAAAAATAATAATAATGCACACTGCAGTATTTCTGGGGGCAATTCTTGACCAGTCTCTTCCCCGCTTTCCCCAGGAGGAAGGGCACTGGGCAGAAGCGCCCCTAGTCCGTGTAGAAGTTGGCAGAATGGTGATCGGTGGTGTGTAAAACGTGTTGTTGATTCCATGTATAGAACTGTGATTTCAGCTGTCGTTCTCTCGTACTCTGTAAATATGTGTTTTGGCTGTCGGAAACCTGGTTTAGACTCTTTTCTTGGCAGAGTGAATTTGCATGTGGGGCTGGAAAGAACTCAAATCTGTGTCACAGTTTCCAAGGGCAGGATGGATTTTTTTTTTAGAGGACAATAAATTTTTATTTTTTTGCTAAGAAAAAAAATACATAATAAAGCAGTGTGTGCGTGTGTGTGTGCGCGCATGCGTGCCCAGGGTGTATGTGCAGCCCCGTGCCCTGCTCTGGGGCCTGGGGAGGTGTGGAGAAGTCTGCGGTGGAGCCCTTGAAACAACAGAACGAATACATCACCGTGGCCAATTTTGCCTTCTCCCTTTCGCACGACCAGTAATTGCTTGCTGAGCTCCCTTCTGGATCAAGCCCCTTTTTCAGGGAGGTTGCCAGTCACCTTTATGATTGAGGTGCAATGGAAGAGGGGGAGAGGCGAGGGGGTGTGGGACTCCTTTGGGAATAGTAAAACCACAGAGCAGAGAGTATTTTAGCCCCCAGATTCTTGGTCTGCACAAAAATTTATCTCTACGTGTCTTCCCCCAAGAGCCAAGCTGAGCTCTGCCTGCCGCTGTGTGCCTGTGCGACTCCGGGAGAGACCGACATTTAAATCCTTACGTACATAGTTTCATGTGTTGGCACCCTAAAGAACATGCCTCACATACGGACCCAAGAATTACCTTTTATTTTAGGGCTAATCAATGCTTCAACGGTGCAACCATTTAACCCTGAGTCCAATCACAACAATAAGTCGAATCACCCAATTTATTTAGTAACGCAATAAAATCAGTAGACCTAAGTGACTGTCCTCTTTCCTCGCGTTGCAGCAGTCTGCCTGTGTCGGCGTTCCTCACCAGGACGACGGCGATGACTGATGATGATGATAGTGGGGTTCCTGCCTCCTCAGTCTCGCATTTGCTAGGACCTGGTTTTGCGTGCTTCAAGACGTATGTTTTAATGCTTAGGCTATTCTCCTGGTCCCTGGGGTTACTTATGCTCTGATGGCTTAAGGTTTAGTAGTGCTCTGTAAAGATTTCTTCTGGGGTGGGGAAAGACCCACACAACTTCCCGAAGCTGAACAAAAATTAAGCTAAAACACTTTGGATAATGTGGTGCCTCAAAACAGAGGTTCGCCCGTGCCGCGAGGACAGCCTGGGTGACGGTCAGCCCAG